CGAACCCTGGACCGAAGCGTTATTAGCACTGTGCTCTACCGACTGAGCTATACGACCGCCAATCGCACACAACACACAAGAAAACAAAATACCGCCCTCATCACAAAACATCTGTATACACACGCACGCACGCTGCACCACGCGCTTCTGCGCACCTTCGCGCTGCTCTACCACCTCGGCCTCGCCGGTCCGCCCACTTCCCACCCAACTCTCACTTACATCTGACCCAACGTCGAACATCCCACAGAGCTTGTCGCCGTACAAACTAGCCCACGGGGTGGCACACACACACAGGCTCGGACACCTCATCTTGGCGCTCCGGGAGATCTTGCAGCCAGGACCGATACTCGAGTCCGTTGGTCGGAGTCGAGCCGCCGAGGCAGCTCCAAGTCGGTGTTTGCCACGCCCGTTGTAGGTGACATGGAGGTTCGGTTGAGTGCGTAAGAGGTCTGGAGCAGACGCAGTAGCACGCCAGAAGCGTGAGAAGCCGCGAAGGACCGTTGTTAGCGCCGCGATAAAGCAAGAGAAAGAAGCAAAATGGTCATACAGGGGCTCGAACCCTGGACCGCAGCGTTATTAGCACTGTGCTCTACCGACTGAGCTATACGACCGCCAATCGCACACAACACACAAGAAAACAAAATACCGCCCTCATCACAAAACGACTGGATACACACGCACGCACGCTGCACCACGCGCTTCTGCGCGCCTTCGCGCTGCTCTACCACCTCGGCCTCGCCAGTCCGCCCACTTCCCACCCAACTCTCACTTACATCTGACCCAACGTCGAACATCCCACAGAGCTTGTCGCCGTACACTCTTGCCCACGGGGTGGCACACACACACACAGGCTCTGACACCTCATCTTGGCGCTCCGGGAGATCTTGCAGCCAGGACAGATACTCGAGTCCGTTGGTCGGAGTCGAGCCGCCGAGGCAGCTCCGAGTCGGTGTTTGCCACGCCCGTTGTAGGTGACATGAATGTTCGGTTGAGTGCGTAAGAGGTCTGGAGCAGACGCAGTAGCACGCCAGAAGCGCGAGAAGCCACGAAGGACCGTTATTAGCGCCGCGATAAAGCAAGAGAAAGGAGCAAAATGGTCATACAGGGGCTCGAACCCTGGACCGCAGCGTTATTAGCACTGTGCTCTACCGACTGAGCTATACGACCGCCAATCGCACACAGCACACAAGAAAACAAAATACCGCCCTCATCACAAAACATCTGTATACACACGCACGCACGCTGCACCACGCGCTTCTGCGCACCTTCGCGCTGCTCTACCACCTCGGCCTCGCCGGTCCGCCCACTTCCCACCCAACTCTCACTTACATCTGACCCAACGTCGAACATCCCACAGAGCTTGTCACCGTACAAACTAGCCCACGGGGTGGCACACACACACAGGCTCGGACACCTCATCTTGGCGCTCCGGGAGATCTTGCAGCCAGGACCGATACTCGAGTCCGTTGGTCGGAGTCGAGCCGCCGAGGCAGTTCCGAGTCGGTGTTTGCCACGCCCGTTGTAGGTGACATGGAGGTTCATTTGAGTGCGTAAGAGGTCTGGAGCAGACGCAGTAGCACGCCAGAAGCGCGAGAAGCCGCGAAGGACCGTTGCTAGCGCCGCGATAAAGCAAGAGAAAGGAGCAAAATGGTCATACAGGGGCTCGAACCCTGGACCGCAGCGTTATTAGCACTGTGCTCTACCGACTGAGCTATACGACCGCCAATCGCACACAACACACACAGAAAACAAAATACCGCGCTCATCACAAAACGACTGGATACACACGCACGCACGCTGCACCACGCGCTTCTGCGCGCCTTCGCGCTGCTCTACCACCTCGGCCTCGCCAGTCGGCCCACTTCCCACCCACTCTCACTTACATCTGACCCAACGTCGAACATCCCACAGAGCATGTCACCGTACAAACTAGTCCACGGAGTGGGACACACACACAGGCTCGGACACCTCATCTTGGCGCTCCGGGAAGATCTTGCCAGCCAGGAACCGATACTCGAGTCCGTTGGTCGGAGTCGAGCCGCCGAGGCAGTTCCGAGTCGGTGTTTGCCACGCCCGTTGTAGGTGACATGGAGGTTCGGTTGAGTGCGTAAGAGGTCTGGAGCAGACGCAGTAGCACGCCAGAAGCGTGAGAAGCCGCGAAGGACCGTTGCTAGCGCCGCGATAAAGCAAGAGAAAGGAGCAAAATGGTCATACAGGGGCTCGAACCCTGGACCGCAGCGTTATTAGCACTGTGCTCTACCGACTGAGCTATACGACCGCCAATCGCACACAACACACACAGAAAACAAAATACCGCCCTCATCACAAAACGACTGGATACACACGCACGCACGCTGCACCACGCGCTTCTGCGCGCCTTCGCGCTGCTCTACCACCTCGGCCTCGCCAGTCCGCCCACCTCCCACCCAACTCTCACTTACATCTGACCCAACGTCGAACATCCCACAGAGCTTGTCACCGTACAAACTAGCCCACGGGGTGGCACACACACACAGGCTCGGACACCTCATCTTGGCGCTCCGGGAGATCTTGCAGCCAGGACCGATACTCGAGTCCGTTGGTCGGAGTCGAGCCGCCGAGGCAGTTCCGAGTCGGTGTTTGCCACGCCCGTTGTAGGTGACATGGAGGTTCGGTTGAGTGCGTAAGAGGTCTGGAGCAGACGCAGTAGCACACCAGAAGCGCGAGAAGCCGCGAAGGACCGTTGTTAGCGCCGCGATAAAGCAAGAGAAAGGAGCAAAATGGTCATACAGGGGCTCGAACCCTGGACCGCAGCGTTATTAGCACTGTGCTCTACCGACTGAGCTATACGACCGCCAATCGCACACAACACACACATAAAACAAAATACCACCCTCATCACATAACGACTGGATACACACGCACGCACGCTGCACCACGCGCTTCTGCGCACCTTCGCGCTGCTATACCACCTCGGCCTCGCCAGTCCGCCCACTTCCCACCCAACTCTCACTTACAACCGACCCAACGTCGAACATCCCACAGAGCTTGTCGCCGTACAATCTAGCCCACGGGGTGGCACACACACACACAGGCTCGGACACCTCATCTTGGCGCTCCGGGAGATCTTGCAGCCAGGACCGATACTCGAGTCCGTTGGTCGGAGTCGAACCGCCGAGGCAGTTCCGAGTCGGTGTTTGCCACGCCCGTTGTAGGTGACATGGAGGTTCGGTTGAGTGCGTAAGAGGTCTGGAGCAGACGCAATAACACGCCAGAAGCGTGAGAAGCCGCGAAGGACCGTTGTTAGCGCCGCGTGATAAGCAAGCGAAAGGAGCAAAATGGTCATACAGGGGCTCGAACCCTGGACCGCAGCGTTATTAGCACTGTGCTCTACCGACTGAGCTATACGACCGCCAATCGCACACAACACACACAGAAAACAAAATACCGCCCTCATCACAAAACGACTGGATACACACGCACGCACGCTGCACCACGCGCTTCTGCGCGCCTTCGCGCTGCTCTACCACCTCGGCCTCGCCGGTCCGCCCACTTCCCATCCAACTCTTACCTACAATCAACCCAACGTCGAACATCCCACAGAGCTTGTCGCCGTACAAACTAGCCCACGGGGTGGCACACACACACAGGCTCGGACACCTCATCTTGGCGCTCCGGGAGATCTTGCAGCCAGGACCGATACTCGAGTCCGTTGGTCGGAGTCGAGCCGCCGAGGCAGTTCCGAGTCGGTGTTTGCCACGCCCGTTGTAGGTGACATGGAGGTTCGGTTGAGTGCGTAAGAGGTCTGGAGCAGACGCAGTAGCACGCCAGAAGCGCGAGAAGCCGCGAAGGACCGTTGTGAGCGCCGCGATAAAGCAAGAGAAAGGAGCAAAATGGTCATACAGGGGCTCGAACCCTGGACCGCAGCGTTATTAGCACTGTGCTCTACCGACTGAGCTATACGACCGCCAATCGCACACAACACACACAGAAAACAAAATACCGCCCTCATCACAAAACGACTGTATACACACCCACGCACGCTGCACCACGCGCTTCTGCGCACCTTCGCGCTGCTATACCACCTCGGCCTCGCCGGTCCGCCCACTTCCCATCCAACTCTCACTTACAACCGACCCAACGTCGAACATCCCACAGAGCTTGTCGCCGTACAAATTAGCCCACGGGGTGGCACACACGCCCAGGCTCGGACACCTCATCTTGGCGCTCCGGGAGATCTTGCAGCCAGGACCGATACTCGAGTCCGTTGGTCGGAGTCGAGCCGCCGAGGCAGTTTCCGAGTCGGTGTTTGCCACGCCCGTTGTAGGTGACATGGAGGTTCGGTTGAGTGCGTAAGAGGTCTGGAGCAGACGCAGTAGCACGCCAGAAGCGCGAGAAGCCGCGCAAGGACCGTTGTTAGCGCCGCGATAAAGCAAGAGAAAGGAGCAAAATGGTCATACAGGGGCTCGAACCCTGGACCGCAGCGTTATTAGCACTGTGCTCTACCGACTGAGCTATACGACCGCCCAATCGCACACACACACACACAGAGAACAAAATACCGCCCTCATCACAAAACGACTGGATACACACGCACGCACGCTGCACCACGCGCTTCTGCGCGCCTTCGCGCTGCTCTACCACCTCGGCCTCGCCAGTCCGCCCACTTCCCACCCAACTCTCACTTACATCTGACCCAACGTCGAACATCCCACAGAGCTTGTCACCGTACAAACTAGCCCACGGGGTGGCACACACACACAGGGCTCGGACACCTTCATTATGGCGCTCCGGGAGATCTTGCAGCCAGGACCGATACTCGAGTCCGTTGGTCGGAGTCGAGCCGCCGAGGCAGTTCCGAGTCGGTGTTTGCCACGCCCGCTGTAGGTGACATGGAGGTTCATTTGAGTGCGTAAGAGGTCTGGAGCAGGAACGCAAAGTAAAGGCAACGCCAGAAGCGTGAGAAGCCGCGAAAGGACCGTTGTTTAGCGCCGTCGATAAAGCAAGAGAAAGGAGCAAAATGGTCATACAGGGGCTTCGAACCCTGGACCGCCAGCGTTATTAGCACTGTGCTCTACCGACTGAGCTATTTTTACGACCGCCAATCGCACACAACACACACAGAAAACAAAATTCCGCCCTCAATCACAAAACGACTGGATACACACGCACGCACGCTGCACCACGCGCTTCTGCGCACCTTCGGCGCTGCTATACCACCTCGGCCTCGCCAGTCCGCCCACTTCCCACCCAACTCTCACTTACAACCGACCCAACGTCGAACATCCCACAGAGCTTGTCGCCGTACAAATTAGCCCACGGGGTGGCACACACACACAGGCTCGGACACCTCATCTTGGCGCTCCGGGAGATCTTGCAGCCAGGACCGATACTCGAGTCCGTTGGTCGGAGTCGAGCCGCCGAGGCAGTTCCGAGTCGGTGTTTGCCACGCCCGTTGTAGGTGACATGGAGGTTCGGTTGAGTGCGTAAGAGGTCTGGAGCAGACGCAGTAGCACGCCTGAAGCGCGAGAAGCCACGAAGGACCGTTGTTAGCGCCGCGATAAAGCAAGAGAAAGGAGCAAAATGGTCATACAGGGGCTCGAACCCTGGACCGCAGCGTTATTAGCACTGTGCTCTACCGACTGAGCTATACGACCGCCAATCGCACACAACACACAAGAAACAAAATACCGCCCTCATCACAAAACGTCTGTATACACACCCACGCACGCTGCACCACGCGCTTCTGCGCACCTTCGCGCTGCTATACCACCTCGGCCTCGCCGGTCCGCCCACTTCCCATCCAACTCTCACCTACAATCAACCCAACGTCGAACATCCCACAGAGCTTGTCGCCGTACAAACTAGCCCACGGGGTGGCACACACACACACAGGCTCTGACACCTCATCTTGGGGCTCCGGGAGATCTTGCAGCCAGGACAGATACTCGAGTCCGTTGGTCGGAGTCGAGCCGCCGAGGCAGCTCCGAGTCGGTGTTTGCCACGCCCGTTGTAGGTGACATGAAGGTTCGGTTGAGTGCGTAAGAGGTCTGGAGCAGACGCAATAACACGCCAGAAGCGTGAGAAGCCGCGAAGGACCGTTGTTAGCGCCGCGTGATAAGCAAGCGAAAGGAGCAAAATGGTCATACAGGGGCTCGAAACCCTGGGCGGAAGCGGTATTTAGCACCGTGCTCTTCCGACTGAGCTATCGACCCCCCAATCGCACACACCACACAAAGAAAAACAAAATTCCGCCCTCATCACAAAACGTCTGGATACACACGCACGCACGCTGCACCACGCGCTTCTGCGCGCCTTCGCGCTGCTCTACCACCTCGGCCTCGCCGGTCCGCCCACTTCCCATCCAACTCTTACCTACAACTAACGCACCGTCGAACATCCCACAGAGCTTGTCGCCGTACAAACTAGCCCACGGGGTGGCACACACACACACAGGCTCGGACACCTCATCTTTGCGCTCCGGGAGATCTTGCAGCCAGGACCGATACTCGAGTCCGTTGGTCGGAGTCGAGCCGCCGAGGCAGCTCCGAGTCGGTGTTTGCCACGCCCGTTGTAGGTGACATGAAGGTTCGGTTGAGTGCGTAAGAGGTCTGGAGCAGACGCAATAACACGCCAGAAGCGTGAGAAGCCGCGAAGGACCGTTGTTAGCGCCGCGATAAAGCAAGAGAAAGGAGCAAAATGGTCATACAGTGGCTCGAACCCTGGACCGCAGCGTTATTAGCACTGTACTCTACCGACTGAGCTATACGACCGCCAATCGCACACAACACACACAGAAAACAAAATACCGCCCTCATCACAAAACGACTGGATACACACGCACGCACGCTGCACCACGCGCTTCTGCGCGCCTTTCGCGCTGTTTCTACCCACCTCGGCCTCGCCAGTCCGCCCCACTTCTCACCCCAACTCTCACCTACAACCGAACCCAACGTTCGAAACATCCCACAGAGCTTGTTCGCCGTTACACAACCTAGCCCAACGCGGGTGGGTCACACCACCACACCACCAGCTTCGGGACACCTCATTCTTGACGCTCCGGGGAGATCTTGTCAGCCAGGACCGATACTCGAGTCCCGTTGGTCAGAGTCGAGCCTGCCGAGGCAGTTCCGAGTCGGTGTTTGCCACGCCCGTTGTACGTGACATGGAAGGTTCGGTTTGAGTGCGTAAGAGGGTCTGGAGCAGACGCAATAACACGCCAGAAGCGTGAGAAGCTCGCGAAGGACCGTTGTTTAGCGCCCGCGTGATAAAGCAAGAGAAAGGGAGCAAAAGTGGTCCATACAGGGGCCTCGAACCCTGGGAACCGCCAGCGTTTAATTAGCCACTGTGCTCTACCCGAACTGAAGCTATACCGACCCGCCCAACCGCACAACTAACACACTACAGAAAAACAAAAATAACCGCCCTCATCACAAAACGACTGGATACACACGCACGCACGCTGCACCACGCGCTTCTGCGCGCCTTCGCGCTGCTCTACCACCTCGGCCTCGCCAGTCCGCCCACTTCCCACCCAACTCTTACTTACAATCAACCCAACGTCGAACATCCCACAGAGCTTGTCACCGTACACTCTTGCCCACGGGGTGACACACACACACACAGGCTCGGACACCTCATCTTGGCGCTCCGGGAGATATTGCAGCCAGGACCGATACTCGAGTCCGTTGGTCGGAGTCGAGCCGCCGAGGCAGTTCCGAGTCGGTGTTTGCCACGCCCGTTGTAGGTGACATGGAGGTTCGGTTGAGTGCGCAAGAGGTCTGGAGCAGACGCAGTAGCACACCAGAAGCGTGAGAAGCCGCGAAGGACCGTTGTTAGCGCCGCGATAAGCAAGAGAAAGGAGCAAAATGGTCATACAGGGGCTCGAACCCTGGACCGCAGCGTTATTAGCACTGTGCTCTACCGACTGAGCTATACGACCGCCAACCGCACACAACACACACAGAAAACAAAATACCGCCCTCATCACAAAACGACTGGATACACACGCACGCACGCTGCACCACGCGCTTCTGCGCGCCTTCGCGCTGCTCTACCACCTCGGCCTCGCCAGTCCGCCCACTTCCCACCCAACTCTCACTTACAACCGACCCAACGTCGAACATCCCACAGAGCTTGTCGCCGTACAAACTAGCCCACGGGGTGGCACACACACACAGGCTCGGACACCTCATCTTGGCGCTCCGGGAGATCTTGCAGCCAGGACCGATACTCGAGTCCGTTGGTCGGAGTCGGGCCGCCGAGGCAGTTCCGAGTCGGTGTTTGCCACGCCCGTTGTAGGTGACATGAAGGTTCGGTTGAGTGCGTAAGAGGTCTGGAGCAGACGCAGTAGCACGCCAGAAGCGCGAGAAGCCGCGAAGGATCGTTGTTAGCGCCGCGATAAAGCAAGAGAAAGGAGCAAAATGGTCATACAGGGGCTCGAACCCTGGACCGCAGCGTTATTAGCACTGTGCTCTACCGACTGAGCTATACGACCGCCAATCGCACACAACACACACAGAAAACAAAATACCGCCCTCATCACAAAACGACTGGATACACACGCACGCACGCTGCACCACGCGCTTCTGCGCGCCTTCGCGCTGCTCTACCACCTCGGCCTCACCAGTCCGCCCACTTCCCACCCAACTCTCACTTACAACCGACCCAACGTCGAACATCCCACAGAGCTTGTCGCCGTACAAACTAGCCCACGGGGTGGCACACACACACAGGCTCGGACACCTCATCTTGGCGCTCCGGGAGATCTTGCAGCCAGGACCGATACTCGAGTCCGTTGGTCGGAGTCGAGCCGCCGAGGCAGTTCCGAGTCGGTGTTTGCCACGCCCGTTGTAGGTGACATGGAGGTTCATTTGAGAGCGTAAGAGGTCTGGAGCAGACGCAGTAGCACGCCAGAAGCGCGAGAAGCCGCGAAGGACCGTTGTTAGCGCCGCGATAAAGCAAGAGAAAGGAGCAAAATGGTCATACAGGGGCTCGAACCCTGGACCGCAGCGTTATTAGCACTGTGCTCTACCGACTGAGCTATACGACCGCCAATCGCACACAACACACACAGAAAACAAAATACCGCCCTCATCACAAAACGACTGGATACACACGCACGCACGCTGCACCACGCGCTTCTGCGCGCCTTCGCGCTGCTCTACCACCTCGGCCTCGCCAGTCCGCCCACTTCCCACCCAACTCCAACCGACCCAACCGCGAACATCCCACAGAGCTTGTCGCCGTACAAACTAGCCTACGGGGTGGCACACACACACACAAGCTCGGACACCTCATCTTGGCGCTCCGGGAGATCTTGCAGCCAGGACAGATACTCGAGTCCGTTGGTCGGAGTCGAGCCGCCGAGGCAGCTCCGAGTCGGTGTTTGCCACGCCCGTTGTAGGTGACATGAAGGTTCGGTTGAGTGCGTAAGAGGTCTGGAGCAGACGCAATAACACGCCAGAAGCGTGAGAAGCCGCGAAGGACCGTTGTTAGCGCCGCGAGATAAGAAGACAAAAGGACAAAAATGTTCATACGGGGCTCCGAACCTGGGACCGCAGCGTTATGAGAACTGTGCTCTACCGACGGACTGAGCTATACGACCGCCAATCGCACACAGCAAAAAAGAAAAAAAAAAACCGCTCTCTATCAAAAAACGACTGGATACACACGCACGCACGCTGCACCACGTGCTTCCTGCGCGCCTTCGGGCTGTTCTACCACCTCGGCCTCGCCAGTCCGCCCACTTCCCACTCAACTCTCACTTACAACCGACCCAACGTCGAACATCCCACAGAGCTTGTCGCCGTACAAACTAGCCCAACGGGGGTGGCACACACACACAGGCTCGGACACCTCATCTTGGTGGCTCCGAGAGATCTTGCAGCCAGGACCGATACTCGAGTCCCGTTGGTCGAAGTCGAAGCCGCCGAGGCAGCTCCCGAGTCGGTGTTTGCCACGCCCGTTGTAGGTGACATGGAGGTTCGGTTGAGTGCGTAAGAGGTCTGGAGCAGACGCAATAACACGCCAGAAGCGCGAGAAGCCGCGAAGGACCGTTGTGAGCGCCGCGATAAAGCAAGAGAAAGGAGCAAAATGGTCATACAGGGGCTCGAACCCTGGACCGCAGCGTTATTAGCACTGTGCTCTACCGACTGAGCTATACGACCGCCAATCGCACACAACACACAAGAAAACAAAATACCGCCCTCATCACAAAACATCTGTATACACACGCACGCACGCTGCACCACGCGCTTCTGCGCACCTTCGCGCTGCTCTACCACCTCGGCCTCGCCGGTCCGCCCACTTCCCATCCAACTCTCACCTACAACTAACCCAACGTCGAACATCCCACAGAGCTTGTCGCCGTACAAGCTAGCCCACGGGGTGGCACACACACACAGGCTCGGACACCTCATCTTGGTGCTCCGGGAGATCTTGCAGCCAGGAACGATACTCGAGTCCGTTGGTCGGAGTCGAGCCGCCGAGGCAGCTCCAAGTCGGTGTTTGCCACGCCCGTTGTAGGTGACATGGAGGTTCGGTTGAGTGCGTAAGAGGTCTGGAGCAGACGCAATAACACGCCAGAAGCGTGAGAAGCCGCGAAGGGCCGCTGTTAGCGCCGCGTGATAAGCAAGAGAAAGGAGCAAAATGGTCATACAGGGGCTCGAACCCTGGACCGCAGCGTTATTAGCACTGTGCTCTACCGACTGAGCTATACGACCGCCAATCGCACACAACACACACAGAAAACAAAATACCGTCCTCATCACAAAACGACTGTATACACACCCACGCACGCTGCACCACGCGCTTCTGCGCGCCTTCGCGCTGCTCTACCACCTCGGCCTCGCCAGTCCGCCCACTTCCCACCCAACTCTCACCTACAACTAACCCAACGTCGAACATCCCACAGAGCTTGTCGCCGTACACTCTTGCCCACGGGGTGGCACACACACACACAGGCTCGGACACCTCATCTTGGCGCTCCGGGAGATCTTGCAGCCAGGACCGATACTCGAGTCCGTTGGTCGGAGTCGAACCGCCGAGGCAGTTCCGAGTCGGTGTTTGCCACGCCCGTTGTAGGTGACATGGAGGTTCGGTTGAGTGCGTAAGAGGTCTGGAGCAGACGCAGTAGCACGCCAGAAGCGTGAGAAGCCGCGAAGGACCGTTGCTAGCGCCGCGATAAAGCAAGAGAAAGGAGCAAAATGGTCA